TTTATCCAGCCGCTCTGACATTGCTTGTCCATATATGTATATATTCTTAATTCCATTCCTTACTTAGATTTGTGTGTATTGGGTATATGTTGTGAAATTGTTAGATATTACTTGTTAGATATTACTGCACTGTCGGAGCTAGAAGCACAAGCATTTCGCTACACCCGCAATAACATCTGCTAAACACGTGTATGTGACCAATAAAATTTGATTTGATTTGATATATTTAAAAAAAACTCAAACAGATCTAAAATTAGATTGTACCTCTAGTCAGTCTCAACTTAATTTAAATACACCGAATATTAAGCAAAGAGCACCATTCAAATAATTTAAAAGAGATACTGTACGAAACAGTTACAAACGGTTGTTAATCATATGTGAGTATCTCTTCAAAGAAAAGCACAGAGTGCAAAATAATTTGATGCTTTCAATTGATCAAAAATGTATAATGTGGCTTGGAATGATGGCACACCTACCCCGTTAGCTGTCCTCTTCCCTTCCAATAGTTTGGTTGTGAGATGAGTTTATAGAGGTGTCTTTCTTTCCTCTCTCTCTGCTGACTAGGTAACCAGGGGTGTGTTCAGTTTGATTCAACGATTGCTACGTTGCGTGACGGTTTGTACTGATCGACATGTTTCCCCAAAACGGTGTGCACCGTTCTGTTTTCTCCCGTTTGGGAGGTGTGGTGAGGTGTGGCCTGATAAATATGGGTGTGACAATTTGAAATCACAAAGCTCATTCAGCACACCATACGGTACTCGCCCTCTGGGCCACAGTAATCACAACGTTATTCAACTGGTCGTTCAGTACAGTACCGTTTCTGTTGAATTCAACGTTGCACACACCGTTCTATCATACTGAATGCACCCCAGGTGATGCTGAAAGTTCTGCTCTAGCCCCTCCCTCCATGTAAAAAAAACACTGACCAATAGGCATAACATTTTACATTTACATTTTAGCAGACGCTCTTATCCAGAGCGACGTACAGTTAGTGCATACATTTTTTTTTTTTTTTTTTTTTTTTCATACCCCCCCGTGGGAATCGAACCCACAACTCTGGCGTTGCAAACACCATGCTCTACCAACTGAGCTACATCCCTGTTTTTTTATTTTTATATACAGTAGATCTAAGTTGCCTAATCAAATGTGCATTTCTTTTAGTGTATCAAGTTTACATTTGTCATTATAATGTGAAGTACATTTGGTAACCCCCAATCAATTCATTGTATTTGCACTCGACATAGGCAAAAAAAAAAAACATTTTACAGAACAATATCCACTGAGCTCTGATTAATGAGATATGTAAAAAAAAAAATAAGAAAACCACCAAAGACATCATTTTAACCTGTGTCAGTGAGTTCTCCCAGTGCCATGCAAAGCAGGCCGCCTTCCAACAACCCAATGCAAAATAAAAAACGACTACATTTTTAGAGGCTGCTTGTATGTGGTACCGCATGGCTGTATAATAATAATTTGGGGGTGCTTATATTTGTCCTGTTACACACTTGTACGAGTATGTAATGGAAATGTGTTTCCCAACATGCATGTGTTTCTTGCATATCCCCAAGACTGGGGGGGGGGGGGGGGGGGGGGGTTGAACAATGCTAATTGTCCGGGTAGCGGTTTTATTAGCTGTTCAGGAGTCTTATGGCTTGGGGGTAGAAGGTGTTAAGAAGCCTTTTGGACCTAGACTTGGCGCTCCGGTACCGCTTGCCATGCGGTAGCAGAGAGAACAGTCTATGACTAGGGTGGCTGGAGTCTTTGACAATTTTGAGGGCCTTCCTCTGACACCGCCTGGTATAGAGGTCCTGGATGGCAGGAAGCTTGGCCCCAGTGATGTACTAGGCCGTGCGCAAGCTTGGCCTCAGTGATGTACTAGGCCGTGCGCACTACCTTCTGTAGTGCCTTGCGGTCGGAGGCCGAGCAGTTGCCATACCAAGCAGTGATGCAACCAGTCAGGATGCTCTCGATGGTGCAGCTGTAGAACTTTTTGAGGATCTGAGGACACATGCCAAATCTTTTCAGTCTCCTGAGGGGGAATATGCTTTGTCATGCCCTCTTCATGACTGTCTTACTGTGTTTGGACCATGATAGTTTGTTGGTGATGTGGACACCAAGGAACTTGAAGCTCTCAACCTGCTCCACTACAGTCCCGTCAATGAGAATGGGGGTGTGCTCAGGTCCTCTTTTTCCTATAGTCCACAATCATCTCCTTTGTCTTGATCACATTGAGGGAGAGGTTGTTATCCTGGCATCACACGGCCAGGTCTCTGACCTCCTCCCTATAGGCTTTCTCATCATTGTCGGTGATCAGGCCTACCACTGTTGTGTCGTCGGCAAACTTAATGATGGTGTTGGAGTAGTGCCTGGCCATGCAGTCATGGGTGAACAGGGAGCACAGGAGGGGACTGAGCACGCACCCCTGAGGGGCCCCCGTGTTGAGGAGCCCAGTGCTACCAGTGGTTAGGGTGTGATTTTACTACGTCTATTTAGATAAATGCATTTGCTAAATTGCTACATAGTAAATAAAATGTAGGGTGTCAAATACTTTGAACCTTTGCTAAATGATTCATGGTGGTTGATTTATCAAGGTGTTTAATGTATAACATCCATCAATTAAAGGAATACAGGCAAGAACCCCACACCCCTCCCCTGCTATCCATTAGACTGTGTTTATGACTGTAATAGCTGCCACGGTCAACATATCATGACACCAGGGAATTTTCAAATGATAATCAAATGTTGCTTAGCTTCATAACATGGATACTGTAATTCTGTCACACCCACAACAGTCTGTCTGTCTCCATCTTTACAGTACTCTGAACCATAGCACCATGACATGGGTACATAATTCTACATTGATTTGTGCCCCCATCTTAAAATTCTTGCTGGAGGGTGAAAATTGTAATACTGTTGTCACTAATCAAACATATTTTATTTAAGAATGTGGATAGTTACATCCATAAGTGAGTGTGTAACATTATTTTTCTCATTATGAAAAATGTTACCCTCTCTCACGGAAAGTTGTCAAAATCCTCTTCACATCACTAATCAAATTTCCCTTACGTACAACAAGCTTTATTATCACAATCAATTCAAACACCAACAAAAAAATAAGATTATAATTTGATATTACATTAGTAAAACATTGTAAAGTCTAAATCTAGCCTAATATAAATATAATTCCTATTTTTCTTTCATAAGCAAAAGCTAACTTTCATAACTTGAATAACGTAAACAAAAAATTATTTAATAATCTCATTTAATATATTATTTATAATGGAATATTTTAGTTTTCTTGGACCTCCCATCCCTCTCCAGCTGCATCATCATGGCTGGTCCTCTTCATCCAGACCCACACTGACTTTAGAAACCAAACACAACAGTACAAAGACTCTCACTGGAATTAGTTCATGAACACCTTACTTCATTTCCATACTGTCAATGGGATGCAAAACCTAACAACACACTGTACAAGTGTTCTTTCCAGCGTATGCCTAGGATGAAGTTCCCGTTCTTCGCAAACTCCTTTCTGATCTATGAGATATGATCAAACCAGATAAAGCCAGCAGCCCTCCTATTTTAATCAAACATACGAGTTTATAAATATGATCAATAGGAATATAAAATGGAGATCTTATGAAAAGTGAGAAATGATTGAGCATGACATTGATTTCTGATGTGGGAGATGTAGGACTACTGTACCTGCTCCAACATCTGTTCCTTAACCACTGGGTCATTGGGGTCAGCTCCTGAGTTAGATTTCAGAGACATCCTGACAATGGTCTGCTTGAATCTCTTTTCTAGAGGGACATATGAATGGTAGCAGCCACTCAAATGAGATTCAGCTTATTTACAATAAATATAACTTTTCTTTCACTTCCATTTAAAGGCTATAAATTACTTTGGAAGTGTGCAGTAGCTAGCCTCTGTGTTCTATATTCAACATTATGGAAATATTATCCGATATTAGAAACCACATGAGCACATATATTTGCATGAATCCCTGGTAAGAATGGGGAGAGAGAGATGGCATCTGACAGTAGTGTAGACAACATGAAGCATTGCTGTGTCCGACATCTGACACTGCTTGTTAAAGTGGGACCCTATTGGGACTAAAATGCCACCCCTTGCACATGTCTTACAGATATAAACCCCAAAAACGCCAATAATACCACAGCCTCTGGTGTCAGCGTAGGTTTGAATATTACAATATTAGATTGATTTACACTAAAGCATTAAGGATATGCTATCTGACAGTGGGCTCATCAGAAGAGGAAGGGGAGGACCATCCTCCTCAGTGAATTTCATTTTCTTTTTATAGTAAAACATTGAAAAAGTTTTCCTTTTTAGATAAAACTATACTAAATATATTCACGTCACCAAATAATTAATTAAAACACACTTTTTTGCAATGAAGATCTACAGTAGCCTCAACAGCACTCTGTAGGGTAGCTCAATGATGTAGCCGGAGGACAGCTAGCTTCCTTCCTCCTCTTGGTTCTCACCCACTTCCATAGACACAATATTTATGACAACTTCCGGAGGATGTCTTCCAACATAGCAGAGCTCTTGCAGTATGAGCTGACATGTTATCCACACAATCAAAGGATCAGAGAATGAATCTAGTACTGAAAGCATAAGCTACAGCTAGCTAGCACTGCAGTGCATAAAATGTGGTGAGTAGTTCACTCAAAGAGAGAAAAAGACAATAGTTGAACAGTTTTCAACAAATTCATTTCTGTCAAAAATGAAGGAGAAGCAAGAAAGAGAGAGAGAGATTTCGTCTTTTTTTTTTGTTCACTTTCAGTTTTACTTACTTAGCTAGCAAATGCAGCTGGCTAGTTTAGTTACTCAAACACCTGGCTCAAAAAGAGGCATGCTATGTTAGTTAGCTGGCTAAGACTCTCCAACACAACACTGGAACCCACTGGGGCCCGCCAGTGTAACTGCTTAGTGACTGTACACTGTAATGTTACAGCATGATTGTAGCGGGTTTACTAACGCATTAGTTCTATTAGCTATGTTGACTAGGACGTTACTTTAGCTAATATGGGGACAATGACATAGGCTGTGTGTAGCGGTTATGACATGGTTAGGCTTAGAAAGGTTTTTTTGCCTGGTCACTTACAGCTGATGTTTTGTTCATTGAAGTCCACAAACGAAGGGAAAGGGTGAGAGGAGGAGAGTGCATAGAGGCTAGAATGAATACAACGTGGCTTCTATGAAAGTGAACTGTGTTTATGCGTGATCAGGGGTGCATTCATTCCGCCGATTCTGTTGAAAAATGTTTCTTAAACGGAAGCAAATGAAACGGGGATAAAAATACCTGAATTTGCCCAATAGAAACTCTCGTTTGCAACTGTTTGACTAATGATTACACCCTAGAAAAGCTAGATGCAGGCAAGAGTGTGCAAGGCGATATTGAAAGTGTCACTGTCTGTCCATGAGTCACTGTCTGTCATCTCAAAATGTTATCTCGACCTGTGTGCACCTACGTCGTAAACTTTCATTCATAGGCGAGGTTGTAGCAACCTCATGATGGGTATAGGGAAAATTTGAGTACCATGTAGTAGCCTAAACCAATTGATATTACATTGAACTGGGTTAATGGAATATGAATAAAAAAATATTATCCTCCCTCAACATAAACGGCAGCGACCGCCACTGGTATATAAGCATAAATACTCACATGGGTCTACTGCTCGGGTATCGGTGAAGGACCCATCCAATGACTGCTGGCTAAAGAAGAGGTCAGAGGCTGCACCTGGGAAAAATGGATTTGAGTTTATGGTTTGGAGAGCAGTTTTGCATAAATATCAGCCATTATGTGTCAACATTACAGATGTCACAGACATCTCGCCCCCCTGATAATCTAATGGCTGTATTAGGCCAAAAGTTGTTTTCTGAGATATCAGGTTCATTGTTGCTGACAGTTGAGATGGACTCGTTTTCCTGCTGAAAATATTCATAAAGTCGCTTTAGACTAGACATCACTAAATACCTCTCAAATCTTAGGGTTAAATTATGACCATTTTAATTACTTTTGATTCATCACTCAATGCACTTTCTATGTAGAATGAAATTCCACAACGATCAAACACTAAATGGATGTTTATTCAGAACAAAGATGAAAGGAAATACAAAATAACAATAATTACATTCTAACTAAATAGCGTTCTCAAACAGTACAGATCACACAGGAGTTACATACTACATGTTCAGTTAATAACGTTTACTTTACCTATTTAAGTATTACAGTAAATTATAGGTCACAAAATTCTTACAATTACAATGCTTATGAGTCAGTATATGTAAGTACAGTATCATTAAGTAATATCATGTAATAGAGATGATAATAATAAGTTAAAGTAGTAATAATATTAATAATAGTAATAGTGGTGTAATAATGTAATGAATTGAAATGCTGATTCCTTCCAGACCATGAGTGACAGTCTCTCTGGCAGATCAGTGTGGTGTCTGTCTGCAGACTGTCCAGGCTGCCATGGAGAGCCCTCTAGTGGAGATCTGTTGAAACATCATACACAGGATAAGAGGACATGGATGTATCTTATATGACCAGGCCTTGCCATTATGTTTTGGCTGATTCAAAAGACTATTACTAGTAGAGTGAGTCTAGACTATGTAAAAGAGAGGGAGTTAAAGGGAGTAAAGAGCAGTGCAGATAGTAGCCAACTGTAGAGGGGTGGATGTCTGGGATGTGGGTTGATCCTTATTCAATAGGGAGGTATAATCAGAGCATTGCATAAAGTAATACATTGCATAGAGCTGACATGATGTAGGTCAAGACAGTCAATCTCTATTCCGCAGTAAACCATGACAGTTCTATGTAAAATGTGTCTATCTGCAACGTTTTGAATGTTCCACCGCACTTATTAAGAATGGCGCCGGAGAAGATGGCTGCCGTTTTACAGCCCTCTTACCAATTGTCCTATTATTTGTGTTTTTCCGCGTTATTTGTCATTTATTCTGTACATAATGTTTCTGCCATCGTCTCTTATAACCAAAAATAGCTTCTGGATATCAGGACAGCGATTACTCACCTCGTATTGGACGAAGATTTTTTCTTCAACAAGTCGGACGTGAAGGATATCCTACAGACACCCGACAAGGCCCAAATCCCTGTCATTCACATGAGAAAGAGACAGAGATATCGTGGACGTAGGTCGAGGTGCCTTGTAAAGATCTGACGGCGAGCGAGTAAACTGCCTCTTCCATCAATCCTCTATTAGCCAATGTTCAATCATTTGAGAATAAATTAGATGACCTAAGATTACGGCTATCCTACCAACGGGACAATTAAAAACTGTAATATCTTATGTTTCACCGAGTCGTGGTTGAACGACGACATGGACAACATACAGCTAGCGGGCTATACGCTACATCGGCAGGATAGAACGGCTAACTCCGGTAAGACAAGGGGTGGCGGTCTGTGTATATTTGTAAACAACAGCTGGTGCACAAAATCAAATACTAAGGAAGTTTCGAGGTTTTGCTCGCCTGAGGTAGAGTATCTTATGATAAGCTGTAGACCACACTATTTACCAAGAGAGTTTTCATCTATATTTTTCATAGCTGTCTATTTACCACCACAAACCAATGCTGGCATTAAGATTGCACTGAATGAGCTGTATAAGGCCATAAGTGAACAGGAAAACACTCATCCAGAGGCAGCGCTCCTAGTGGCCGGGGACTTTAATGCAGGGAAACTTAAATCCGTTCAACCTAATTTTTACCAGCATGTTAAATGTGCAACCAGAGGAAAAAAAACTCTAGACCACCTTTACTCCACACACAGAGACGCATACAAAGCTCTCCCTCGCCCTCCATTTGGCAAATCTGACCATAACTCTATCCTCCTGATTCCTGCTTATAAGCAAAAACTAAAGCAGGAAGCACCAGTGACTCGGTTATTAAAAAAGTGGTCAGATGACGCAGATGCTAAGCTACAGGACTGTTTTGCTAGCACAGACTGGAACATGTTCCGGGATTCTTCAGATAGCATTGAGGAGTACACCACATCAGTCACTGGCTTCATCAATAAGTGCATTGATGACGTCGTCCCCACAGTGACCGTACGTACATACCCCAACCAGAAGCCATGGTTTACAGGCAACATCCGCACTGAGCTAAAGGGTAGAGCTGCCGCTTTCAAGGAGCGGGACTCTAACCCGGACGCTTATAAGAAATCCCGCTATGCCCTCTGACGAACCATCAAACAGGCAAAGAGTCAATACAGGACTAAGATTGAATCGTAGTACACCGGCTCTGACGCTCGTCCGATGTGGCAGGGCTTGAAAATGATTACAGACTACAAAGGGAGCACAGCCGCGAGCTGCCCAGTGACACAAGACTTCCAGACGAGCTAAACCACTTCTATGCTCGCTTCGAGGCAAGCAACACTGAAGCATGCATGAGAGCACCAGCTGTTCTGGATGACTATGTGATCACGCTCTCCATAGCCAATGTGAGTAAGACTTTTAAGCAGGTCAACATTCACAAGGCTGCAGGGCCAGACGGATTACCAGGAACGTGTACTCTGACATTTTCAGCATGTCCCTGACTGAGTCTGTAATACCAAATATGTTTCAAGCAGACCACCATAGTCCCCGTGCCCAAGGACACTAAGATAACCTGCCTAAATGACTACCGACCCGTAGCACTGACGTCTGTAGCCATGAAGTGCTTTGAAAGGCTGGTCATGGCTCACATCAACACCATTATCCCAGAAACCCTAGACCCACTCCAATTTGCATACCGCCCCAACAGATCCACAGATGATGCAATCGACCTGGACAAGAGGAACACCTACGTGAGAATGCTATTAATTGACTACAGCTCAGCATTCAACACCATAGTGCCCTCAAAGCTCATCACTAAGCTAAGGATCCTGGGACTAAACACCTCCCTCTGCAACTGGATCCTGGACTTCCTGACGAGCCACCCCCAGGTGGTAAGGGTAGGTAACAACACATCTGCCACACTGATCCTCAACACGGGGGCCCCTCAGGGGTGTGTGCTCAGTCCCCTCCTGTACTCCCTGTTCACCCATGACTGCATGGCCAGGCACGACTCCAACACCATCATTAAGTTTGCAGACGACACAAAAGTGGTAGGCCTGATCACCGACAACGATGAGACAGCCTATAGGGAGGAGGTCAGAGACCTGGCCGTGTGGTGCCAGGATAACAACCTCTCCCTCAACGTGACCAAGACAAAGGAGGTGATTGTGGACTACAGGAAAAAAAAGAGGACTGAGCACGCCCCCATTCTCATCGACGGGGCTGTAGTGGAACAGGTTGAGAGCTTCAAGTTCCTTGGTGTCCACATCACCAATGAACTATCATGGTCCAAACACACCAAGACAGTCGTGAAGAGGGCATGACAAAGCCTATTCCCCCTCAGGAAACTGAAAAGATTTGGCATGGGTCCTCAGATCCTCAAAGAATTATACAGCTGCACAATCAAGAGCATCCTGACTGGTTGCATCACAGCCTGGTATGGCAACTGCTCGGCCTCCGACCGCAAGGCACTACAGAGGGTAGTGCGTACGGCCCAGTACATCACTGGGGCCAAGCTTCCTGCCATCCAGGACCTCTATACCAGGCGGTGTCAGAGGAAGGCCCTCAAAATTGTCAAAGACTCCAGCCACCCTAGTCATAGACTGTTCTCTCTGCTACCGCACGGCAAGCGGTACCGGAGTGCCAAGTCTAGGTCCAAAAGACTTCTCAACAGCTTCTACCACCAAGCCATAAGACTCCTGAACAGCTAATCATGGCTACCCGGACTATTTGCACTGCCCCCCCACCCCCACCCTATCTTTTTACGCTGCTGCTACTCTGTTAATTATTTATGCATAGTCACTTTAACTCTACCCACATGTACATTTTACCTCAACTACCTCAACTAGCCGGTGCCCCCACACATTGACTCTGCACCGGTACCCCACTGTATATATAGCCTCCCTACTGTTATTTTATTTGACTTCTGCTCTTTTTTTCTCAACACTTTTTTGTTGTTGTTTTATTTTACTTTTTTATTAAAAAATAAATGCATTGTTGGTTAAGGGCTGTAAGCAAGCATTTCACTGTAATGTCTACACCTGTTGTATTCAGCGCATGTGACCAATAACATTTAATTTGATTTTCTTTGATATTAACAAGCCCTAAAATAGGAGCTCCAAAGTTTAGCAACGCACCTTCAAAGATGAAAGGTAATTCCTGATGACAGGAAGCATCCAGCCACTTCAGTTCTCCATTACCAACCCGGACCATCTTACCACAGTGGTAATTGATGGGGTTGAGGGGGAAGCAGCTGTGCCACTCTCTGTACTTCACCACCTTATCAACATCACTACTGGTCCACAGCCAGGGGGCGCTCCACTCAAAGATGGACCGCTCCAGACCAATCCACACTCCCTCACATGGCAGCCCCACGTTGGCCAGGAGCTGGGTCACGTCAGCCTGCACGATCTGGTTGGTGATGTGCACCAGGTTGGATGTGGAGCCACGACTTTTACAGAACTCCAGGGCATTGATCCAGCTCTTGGACTCGTTGAAGTAGTGCAGGTAATCTGCATGGACAAAACATAAACATGAAATTGCACACATGTAAATGCAAGTTCATAAACATAAAAACACAAATTCGCATACACGTACAACCTTATCTGCCATGAAAAGCCCAACAATTGTCACTTGTACATCTTTGTGCAGATTGGCACAGAATGTAGCTCCATGTCTGACACTCACCAGGATGGAGTGGATAAGTTGTACTACTGGGGGAAGATGTGGGCTTCCTGTCTGGGGAGGTGGGACCTGATGAGATCAGTTGTCCACTGGAAGTTGAGGTTGGTGGTGAGGTGGTGGACTGTCCATTAGTAGTGGTAGGTGGTGTGGTGGTGGACTGTCCATTAGTAGTGGTAGGTGGTGAGGTGGTAGACTGTCCATTAGTAGTGGTAGGTGGTGAGGTGGTGGACTGTCCATTAGTAGTGGTAGGTGGTGTGGTGGTGGACTGTCCATTAGTAGTGGTAGGTGGTGTGGTGGTGGACTGTCCATTAGTAGTGGTAGGTAGTGAGGTGGTGGACTGTCCATTAGTAGTGGTAGGTAGTGAGGTGGTGGACTGTCTATTAGTAGTGGTAGGTGGTGTGGTGGACAACTTGCTAGAGGGAGGTCCAGTTGAAGTAGGGCTGGTGGTTTCAGGGGTAGCAGGAGTGGACAAATCCCCAGTGGTGTTAAGAGGACGTTCATCTGTGTCAGAATGAAGTAGAATACACACATATAAGTGCCTGTTTCCTATCATGTTGATCAATGAAACAAAAACAAAGTACTTATATAAAATATTTCCTCATTTTAAAACTTGGAATTGCTTTGTGTAGATTCTACACAACATAGTCATAGATGATGACTGACTGTCAACACTAGTTTGATAACATTCTCACAGGGTTCAACTTACCCCCATAGCACAGGAAAGCTCTTTGAGTAGAAAAATTTTCTGGTTGCCATTTTCTGTCATTTTCTGAGTTCTGCTTTACACAGTTTCCACCTCCCATGGAATTGTCCCATTCCTGAAATGGTTCACCACTGGACCAATTCCATATGTTGTTCTCATGCTTTAGTCCAATCCAGGTGTCCCCTGTAGCCACCTCATCAAAGGTTTCCTGTTCTTTCTGGTTACAGATACTCGCCAGTTCTCTGCCTTGTATTGTCCTGCAGTCTTTCACAGCATCCTTCTGGTCCTTTGGCCCAGTCATCAGCTCATAGACCTCTGTTGTTCCATTACCATTATGAACTTATAGGATGGAAGATGAAAACTGACACATCAGATTTCATGAGACAGTTAATGACTTCGCACAATAAGAAATAAACTTGGAAGATACAGGTGATAACCTAAATTATAAAGGGTTTTGAGATCTGATTAGATGAAGAATACAGCATTAGAGTAGGTGTTATGCAATCAATCAATCCCATTTGTTAAATTACATTTACATTTTAGTCATTTAGCAGACGCTCTTATCCAGAGAGACTTACAGTTAGTGAATACATCTTTTTTTTATACTGGCCCCCCGTGGGAATCGAACCCACAACCCTGGCGTTGCAAACGCCATGCTCTATCAACTGAGCTACATCCCTGCCGGCCATTCCCTCCCCTACCCTGGACGACGCTGGGCCAATTGTGCGCCGCCCATGAGTCTCCCGGTCGCGGCCGGCTGCGACAGAGCCTGGATTCGAACCAGGATCTCTAGTGGCACAGTTAGCACTGCGATGCAGTGCCTTAGATCAATGACAATTTAGATTTTCCATTGATGAAAGAGGTAGTGAGTGAGTTAAAGAAAGACAGTGGGTAGTCAGTGAGTTATATATTGATATGGAGCTGAACAGTCTACTGTTGTCCATTGAGATGCATCAGAAATGGTGCACGCATGATTGTTCTGGCCACCATAGCCCGTTTTCCAGTTAAAGAACATGAAGTCCTCTCCATCAGACCACCTCCACTTTTCTGTTGGACCAGGCCAACGGAGCCCAATCCACACATCACCACTGAAATTACCCAAAGACGATTGAATTGCCTTCCAATCCTCTTCTGTGTGTATGATGGACAGGTTTGTGAAGCGCTGTCTGCAGTACTCTTGTGCTTCGGTCAAGTTTTTCTTTTCAGGGACAAGGCTGTACTTTTTGGCTGAGTAGGTGACTGTTTGAAATACAGAGGGAAATGCTTATCAGACTGCTTGTTTACATTTACATTACATTTTAGTCATTTAGCAGACGCTCTTATCCAGAGCGACTTACAGGAGCAATTAGGGTTAAGTGCCTTGCTCAAGGGCACATTTACGTCATTTAGCAGACGCTCTTATCCAGAGCGACTCACAAATTGGTGCGTTCACCCTATAGCCAGTGGGATAACCACTTTACAATTGTTGTGTTGAGTGGCAAACATGACCATCTTTAGCTTCCACTATCTATTCTAAAATATAGGCAACACATACTATTTGATAGCAGAGTAATATAGAGCATGTGACAGAGGCAAATTGATACATTCGCAAACTTGTTCCAACCTCCAACCAATTTGTTTGATGAATATGGACATGTCCTGTGCATCAATGACTAAAAGTGAATACATAGTAGTGATAGTACTGTATAGTATTCTATAGACTACAGAAAATGAACTTCACACATCATTGGTCTGTAAAGGCTCTGTTTAAAGATCTCTGATGCTTAATGATATTCAATAACTTACACCTTCAACAGAGATGATGGAATAAACAGACACACAACATGACAGTTTGATATCCATGTCTATGCTATCCTGTTTAATAGGGCCTATTAATGAACTCTACCTCTCTGATCATTAGATATTGACTAGATATTTAATGGCCAAAATAAATGATGACTCAAATATACATTAACTGTATGTACTCACCTTTACCACTGCAGTTTCTCAGAGAGTAGCCTGAGGTTGCATGTTGGAGGTGCTGTATTGTGACAGGCATATCATCACTTGGGCATACAGTTTCATACTGGCCCCCCGTGGGAAACGAACCCACAACCCTGGCGTTGCAAGCGCCATGCTCTACCTACTGAGCTACAGGGGACTTGTCATTGTTGGTGCATTCCTGCCTCCACTGACTTGCATTTTTGGTTTTGATTGTCTGATTCTCAACATTGTTCCCCAGAAAATCCACTCCATCCAGTAGGTCCCTCTCATAAGCTGTAACCAAGACATACTGTATTTCACCACTCAGACCATCAGAAAGGGACACAGGATAAAGCACATCTAGGCAGCAAGAGGACATTACCAGCAGTACAGACTTAGTGAGAGAACACACTGAAACACAATAGTAATACAGAAATACAACATTCATACATGGAGAAGAAGACCTTAAACCTTCATGTTCCTTCCTACTGTAAGGTGACATCTGCACTGAGCAAAACCCATTGATAACCTGTAGTATGAAGTGAGCAACACTTACCTTTGACTACCCTCAGGCTGTAGATTTGTATAAGATCATTGAACCATCCAGGGACATAGACTCTGCAGCAGTAGCTCCCACTGTCTGCAGGCTTTAGGTTTAAAATGGTGAGGCTCACCATTCCAACACCATCTTTAATTTTGAATTTGAATGTATCTTCCATTATTTGATCAGTACACTTAAAGGTTCCACAAGCTCTGCCCCAGCACATGTCAAGCTTTATATACCCAAGGTAGCTGCAGAAAAGGGTCACAGAGGTTCCCTCCAGTACTGATATCTCAGTCCCAAACACTGGTGAGAACCTGGCTGCTGTGGGGATACATTTCATATCACAAATATGTTATTTTTGGGATGGTCTATCACTTTCTATTTAGATTACGATAGTGAAATCATCCTTAGGATTTGTATTTCAACTCCACTGTATATTTTATCTTAAATATTGGTTGAACTGAGACTCATTGTGTGTAACTGGATGTTGACAGGTTCTGAACCACTACCCAACTACTTTGAATACATGGTCAACTAGAGAACAGCCATAGCAGGTTGGTTTATAACACCAAGAGAGGAATATTCTTCCCATCTGATCTCTTACCCAATAGCAGGAGTAGAAGTTCTGGCTGTATCATGGCCACTGTGAAGAGATTACATGGTTTAAAGCTAGAATTAAAACAATAACAAAGTGAGGGATGGGCCTAGAGAAATGCAACCACTCTCAAATTCATAGACAGAGCTATGGATGCAAGGACTGACCATCCATGATATACAAATTATATTTTAAACCATGTTTTAAGGCTATACAGTGTTTGTTTACATTTACATTGTTTACAAACATTGGAATAAAACATGCTTATATTATGGGTTCTGATAGGGTACAACAGTTGTACTAAACTCATGAGGCATTAATAAGTTATATTCTTCAAGAATCAAAGGGCATACAGTGCCTTCAGAAAGTATTCACACCCCTTGACTTTTTCCACATTGTGTTACGTTACAGCCTTAATTAAAAATTGATTAAAAATTGTCACTGGCCTACACACAAAACCCCATTATGTCAAATTGGAAATCCTTTTTTTTTTTTTTTTTTTTTTACAAATTAATAAAAAAATGAATAGCTGAAATGTCTTGAGTCATTAAGTATTCAACACCTTTGTTATGGCAAGCCTAAATAAGTTCAGGAGTAAAAATGTGTTTAACAAGTCACATAATAAGTTGAATGGACTCACTCTGAGTGCGATAGTAGTGTTTAACATGATTTTTGAACGACTACATCATCTCTGTACCCCACAAGGTCCCTCAGTCCAGCAGTGAATTTCAAACATAGGTTCAACCACAAAGACCTTGGAGGTTTTCCAATTCCTCACAAAGAAAGGCACCTATTGGTAGATGTGTACACATTTATAAAGCAGACATTGAAGGAAGGAAACCACTCAGGGATTGGCCAATGGTGACTTTAAAACAGTTACAGAGTTTAATGGCTGTGATAGGAGAAAACTTAGGATGGACCAACAACATAGTAGTTACTCCACAATACTAACCTAATTGACAGAGTGAAAAGAAGGAAGCCTGTACAGAATAAAAATTTTCCAAAACATGCATTCTGTTTGCAACAAGGCACTAAAGTAATACTGCACACTTTTTGTCCTGAATACAAAGTGTTATGTTTGGAGCAAATCTAATACAACACGTTACTGAGTACCACTCTCCATATTTTCAAGCATAGTGGTGGCTGCATCATGTTATGCGTATGCTTGTAATCGTTAAGGACTGGGAAGTTTTTCAGGATAAAAAATAAACAGAATGGAACTAAGCACAGGCAAAATCTTAGAGGAAAACATGGTTCAGTCTGCATTCCACCAGACACTGGGAGATTAATTCACCTTTCAGCAGGACAATAACCTCAAACACAAGGTCAAATCTACAATGGAGTTGATTACCAAGAAGACAGTGAATGTTCCTGAGTGACCGAGTAACAGTTTTCACTTAAATCTGCTTGAAAATGTTATGCAAGACCTGAAAATGGTTGTCTAGCAATGATCAACAACCAATTACACAGAGCTTGAAGAATTCTGAAAATAATAATGGGCAAATGTTGCACAATCCAGGTGTGGAAAGCTCTTAGAGACTTAAGCAGAAAGACTCACAGCCGTAATCGCTGCCGAAGGTGATTCTAACATGTATTGACTCAGGGGGTTGAATACTTATCTAATCAAGATATATTAGGTAGCCAACAACACCTGGTACGGGCCCCTCCACATAGGGTCTTTCCAACTCTTTCTTCCGTAGAATTTTACCATCACATAATCTCCAGGGCGCAGAAAATACTCAGATTCTCCTACTCTGTTCGGCAGAGTTCCCTTCACCCATGGGAAAAAATCTTAAGAACATTGTTAGGTTAGGTGAGACACAGTATGCTACTTATGTCCTCTCATCCGTCAACAGAAGCCTTGAGATTATGAAGCGAGTGGCGCAGTGGTCTCCCGAGTGGCGCAGTGGTCTCCCGAGTGGCGCAGTGGTCTAAAGATCCTGTGCCATTAGAGATCCTGGTTCGAATCCAGGCTCTGTCATAGCCGGCCGTGACCGGGAGACCCATGGGGCGGCGCACAATTGGCCCAGCGTTGTCCAGGGTAGGGGAGGTAATGGCCGGCAGGGATGTAGCTCAGTTGGTAGAGCACGGCGTTTGCAACACCAGGGTTGTGGGTTCGATTCCCATGGGGGGCCAGTATAAAAATAAATAAATAATAATAATAAATAAATAAATGATGTATGCACTCACTAACTGTAAGTCGCTCTGGATAAGAGCGTCTGCTAAATGACTAAAATGTCATGTAAATGTAAGCGCACCTCCTTCCAGCTCGTTGTAGTCCACTCATGTCATAGACAGACCACCTCTACACCATGCCTCCTATCACAAAAACAAAAAAGATTTAACCTAACCCATAACACATTATTACTACTGCTCATATCCTTAATACAATTTGCATATTTTACCACAAAAACATTAAAAACATTAAAACCATTAAAAACCATTAAAACCCCTGTAAGCCCAAAAAACATTAAAACCCCTGTAAGCCCCCAAAAACATTAAAATCGTTAACAACTTCCCCCCTTCACATCGTGATTCATGTGTTAAAAAAACAAAACAACAATATTGCTTGTTAAACGAAAAATAATAACTGAACTTAAAATGACAATCCTTGATGATATCTTAACCCAATTGCATTCGATAACATTATTCAAGGATATCTCTCCTTCAAGACTAACTCTCTCACTTCATCCTTGTCCTGTTTGGAATGATATATAGGATTAATGCCAAATTATATACTTCTTCACAATTTCTTATTATAACCAACCCCTAATTCAGCATGCCTCCAGGATTTACAGTGTGGTTGATCAAGTCACACTATAAAGCCAGGACAGCTTGCAAAGGTCATTGAAATCATTCAATTAATTGTTCCATCAATAGTATACCACTCATTAACAACCGTCAAAACATTTCAAAATACATCACACTTATTTACTTATACCTCAGTAAATAAAAGCCCAAATTACATGTGTTTGCCCCTTTAAGATATTCCACTTCCATCCCGTGAAAAAAACTAAAATACATATAGAAATCCTATACAGCTAACATTTCATACTAAGTGGTTTGTTTGTGGTTATTTGAACACCATATAGTAAAA